TTTATTTCTTGTTGAATTTTTGTTGTTACCGCAAGAACGTAGTTTGCGAAGATGCAAAAAGCGTTGCATTGTGGGTTGAGTGGTTGCTGCGGGAAAAAAAATCATTTAAATGAATGTGCACAGTCCAAATTTCCTCTTTGCCCAGGCGTTGCTTTAAGAGCTCTCAGTGACGAGCGGCGCTTCGCGCTGCTCGCTGCGCTCGCTATTAACCTTACAACAAACAGGACGACCAGCTTTTCTAATTTTATCTATCTACTAGATGAAATCCCGCGCTAGCGGTGGGAATTGAATTTATATCACTACCGACAAAAAAATATATTGTAGTTTGTACTGACAGCCTACAGGCTTATAGCAGGAAGAAATACTTTGTTCAAAATCCCGCATAAAGTAGATTTACGTCTCCACCCCATCCCCCCTTTTAGTAAAAACTTGAAAAATAATAATTTCATTAATTTACCTTTTAATTGTGAAACCTATTATACTATTATACTATGTTATAACATGCTCTTATTTCATTTCCGTCGAGGATATAAGCAGCGAATATTACTGATAAATTGATTTTTTTTGGGGGGGGGGGGTTAAAAATTCACAGGTACTTGGATCTTGGTTTATAACTATGTATGTACCTTATTGATATGTAAAAAATGTACTTTACTTTTTTTTACATATCAATAAGGTACATGCGTATTTATAAACCAAGACCCAAGTACCATCTGTAAAAATTAACTTTTAACGCCCTATGAATAGGCCGAGTATTTGATACAAAGGACTGTATTAAGAAAAAAAAACCTGAAATGTATTGATTAAAGCACAAAATTTTACAGCTTTAATTGTATTTGAACAATACCTTATTCATAAATTTTCTCTTTGCATGTAAGCAAGTTTATTACGAAGTACAAATTGTACTTCGGGTTCGTTGCCACGATGCTCTCAGTAAAGGATATATACAAATTTTACCGATAAATTTATTAGGAAAACCCACTGCATATGTATGTAATAGTCTTTCGATATATAAATATATTCACAACTTACAGTGTTATCAATGATTTACCATTATTTCAATGACCATTCACTCAAAGGCTTTTTATGTTCATACAGCTATTATCGCCTCGTTTTCTTTTTTAACATCGGACTCGCTGCTGTATGATGTTCTAGAAGCTTCCGTCAATATTAAGATCGGTGAATGATGAAAATAATTGCACATTTCCCTTTTTAATTGGTTATCACAACTTATTTCTCTTATATCATTTGAATGAAGTTTTGATTGAATAATTCAGTGTTGACGTTTTCTGAAATAAATAAACGATTACCAGTAACTTAGATCCGCCAAGCGGAAACGCCACCGTACTCACGTTTTTGCTATTTCATGGCTGTTTATAGAAAATGAAAGTAGACTTTTAATTTAATGTACGATACTTACTATGCGAGTGAAATCTGAAAATAGTTTACGGACATCATCTTGTATTTAGTGTATTGTTAAGGCCGGTTTACACGGTAAAGCAAGCTGTATAAACCTTGTTTTATAAAGCAAAATGTTACCGTGTGTACGGCGCTATTACACGGAATTTAAATCTCCCCGGAGTCATATATTTCACGCGTTCGAATAGAGCGTGTCTCTATTCTGTACAGCAAGTCGAATGAGACTTTCTTTCTCTAGCCAATCAGTGGCCTGGGATTTTGGTGTTATATTTATGCTTCACTAGCCACTTCAATTTTTCTAAAAGAATACCTCAACCTTTTTATACGTGTACATTTACATGAGTTATGGTTTGTTCAAATTTAAAATGTAGAACAATATTTTTACTTTTTCGCTGAAAAAATTAAACAAAATCATATAAAATAATTAAGAGCAAATAACAGTCTTTTAATGCTGAAACCCTACTTTATAATGGATGTCTTAAAGATCCATCAAATAATTTTTTGGTTTAGCATTCCTCCTTAAATGTATTTCAAATAGACGGTTTATTTTATATTACCGGTGGCCAAAAACGCACTGTAAGAGCAAATCGCTCTGCTGGTGAAATTGAATTTCTCATTAATATGTCCCTCTTCTCTATAAATGAGGATACTGCGTCCAGAAGATCATCAAAATCTGCCATATCTATTCACAGAAACTTTCTAGAAAATTTAATTAAAAACAGTACTTAGTTCTTTAATATGAACGTGATATGCATGTAACAACGCACTTTGAAAATTTTTTTTCGAAGTGCGTTAAATTTGGGACCAGGTTCACATACTTTGAAAAATAATGTGCACGGCTTGGCCAATATATAAATACTTGATTGGATAACTTTTCGGTGATGATGTCACTTTAGGATCTGATATATAGAAGTTTTAAAGATTTTCCCGAAGGTTCTCGTAAATAATATGAAAGGAAAATGAGTCTTTAAGAAATAATGGAGGAATGATTGTTTAATGGCACAATTTCGTTTGTTCTTTTTTTTTTTTTTTTATCCAGTCTGTAATACGTTCGGTAGATGTAGGGGTCGATAAGTGACTTAAAGCATTGTATTTTTCTTAGGGAAATTATTTCTCCATACCATGAAAACTCTCTCTCTCTCAATCTACCATATGCATCTAAATATAGTGAACATAGATGAAACAATGGGTGACTCATTTATTTGATAGTAAGAAAAATAAACCTCAGCCAAAATAATTTTCCGGCACAATATGATGGTCTTTCATAGTTATTTGATTAGTATTACTGTACATTCCTTAATATAAGCAAAGAATTAATTATCGGATAATTTCGCGAGAAGCTCCACTCGCGAAATAAATTTACTTGCTTTTATTTGTATGATACTGTTTTCCATATGAAAATTCTTGATCAACCGTCCATTCTATTGTTCTCGCGATTTGACGTCAAAAATCCATTTCGCGAGAAATAAGGAATCTACAGTAAGAGGAACGAAAAAAATATTTATGCATTTTACACATTTTTTTATTTGTATTGTAATTGATTTTGTAAAGCTACTTTGGCCAAAGTATAGTAAGTTGGCTATTGTTGTTTAGGTCAGCGATATGGCCCCTGAGCCTCTCTTCTTTAATATAATAGGATGCGTTATTTTATTTTCCTTTTTTTTTTTTTTAGGAAAGCTTATCTCAATTTTTTTTATCTATTTTATGTTATCTCAAATTTATTGAGAGAAAATATATTAATGTCATACCAGTAATGTTCATACATATATATGGGTAGGAAAGATAAACTGAGAAAGAACGCTGAGGGACCTTCTACCTGTCTTCTCCTCGTTTTCGATGAGAGTTGATCAATTCATCAGCTTTTCGAAAGAAATATAACAAAATAATGCTGTCTATTACTTAAATCTAAGTCCAGAATTTTTGTTTGATACATATTTTTCAAAGTGCGTTAAGTTAAGTGTCTCCATGGTAAAAAAAAAAAAAAATGTTAATGTACACTCTTAACGCACTTTGAAAAAAAAATTTCAAAGTGCATTGATTTTGTCCCAATTTTAATGCACTTTGAAGAAATTTATCAAAGAGCGTAATTTTTTCAGTGCGTTCCCACATATGCACCATAGTAGTCTCTCCTCCCGATCCATTGTCTGACCCGTCCTCTAGATTTCCTTTGCTGGTACAAATAAATGCAGTGCAAATGAAATTATCAAAAATGTACATTAAAATAACTGTCTTCCTCTTCCTGTGCTTCCATGTTGACAAAATGAAAAAAAACGTACTTCTCAAAGGGGCGTTTCGTTTGTTTAAATAACAATAGAATGGAATGTAAACCTGTTTGACCATGTAGACACGTGAGAAATATATTACAAAAGTTGTATACGACAAGTTGTATACGACATGTATTACCGTATAAACCGGCCTTCAGAGGAGTAAGAAAGAACTCTGGTACACCCGTTTCGGAGTTTATTTGCAAAATTTATTAATTTATAAGTATAGATACATGTACATGTATTTATATATAGCAATATTTCATTATTACCGGCATATAGTGTGAACGTCTCCCAACTGAATTATATTCTGAATACGACCAATCTTATAATTATTAAAACCAAGGCAGGCTGATCACAACTAAGTTGATGTCGCAAGAGTTGTTTGATTTTGAGTTTGATAGCAGAATTTTGCAAGTCCATGGTCATTATAATGACGTAGTTTGCAAATGTTAGAATTTTAGCTAAAATGATTTATGGTCATGACACGATGTTATCGTACATGTCAACATGTATCAACATGTAGGTGAAAATCAACATGTAGGTGAAAATCAACATGTAGGTGAAAATACTATCGATGGATGTGTGGTCATGTAGTTTATCATTCGTTTAATATACATGTATATGATTAGAGAGAAATGGTCCTTACAAATGATGACAAACTCCTTGATACTTTCCAAGAAATAAATAAATAAATAGACTTTAAACATTAGTTTATTTCAATTCTTTTCCACGAGATGTTATTGCACAATCCTTGTGTGTTACAACCTACGAAAAGAAAGGCAAAAATGCTACAAATACAAATGCTGGTCTGACAAATAAAATTAATTCTGCGGTCTGCGCTTTATTCTTTATCTCTTACATTGAGCTGGTGTAAAATGATAGCATTTAGAACTTAAAAGAATGATGGAATGTTAAATCAAGTGGAAAATGGAAGTTTTGATTACATTCATCTTGAACATCAGTGAAGATAAGACTATAATTGAATGTTAAATGTATCATTATCAGCAATTTTGTTTTTATAATGGCAGAAAATATTAGTGGATAAGATGTTATCTTAATCTAATGGGAAATTATTTCTTGTTTAGTTCTATAGGGAATAGTTGTCGACAGTTAATTTCATTTTACGTTTTCACAATGAAGACTTTTTATAATAAATAACAGATGTTACGTGTTTGTATGAAAATGGAAGCCGTGCATCACACAATATGTATCAAATGGATGTGTTTATGTATCATTAGCCTGAGGTAAAAATGAATATTTATAAGGTTAAACATGAAACCCAGAAGAGACAAACATTTTACATCATTGGTAAAGATACAGAAGGTGATAGGGCCCTTGCAGCATGAAACTTACTTTGTTGTTGGATATTTGCCTTGTAGCTGCAATGGTTTCTCTTTCAATAGGTAAAAATTTTCTATCTTTCTAAGAATCATGATCAAAATATATCAGACATGTTACTTGGTTGTAATCGGTTAAAAATTCTCCATCTTTAAAATACCCTTTAACCTTCTTATTTATTTAGCACGATAATGTTATATCGCACATGTATGCATTTATCACAATATAAGATAACTTTTAAAAGCTAACATACTTCTTAGGCTAAAAGCGGCCCTCAACTAACATATGAAATGCTGCACCACTGAAGCGTTAAAAAACTATATAAAATTTTTATGAAAAATAATTTACCAAACTAATTCTAAGCTTCATCTGTATTTCTTTCCCCAAGAACAAAATGGTGTGACTGAACATAAGGTCGTGGTATGCGACAACAGGCCGACAACAATACGTTGTCGTGAAAGAATCGTAATACGTTCGGCTATCTTCGGACAACCGAAAGGGAACAAATGTGGTGGAAAAAGGGTTTATGGTTGTCAAAGGAACGTCACATCTGCAGTTTCAGAGCTGTGTAACAATAAACCAATCTGTCAATTTAAACCTGGGAGTATTTTGTTTGGTGATCCATGTCCTGGGAGTGTAAAATATACGGAGATTGTTTACCTTTGTCATTTTTGGCTATTTTAAATACATTTACATTATACAATATGATGCAAAAATGTTAATTTCACAGAATATTGTAACACAGATTATGTCCTAAGATATTTTATATAAAATCCTTGTTTTTCTTTTTCAACAGCCCCAAAATATGTCCAACTAATAAGCTGCATTTACAGAAAGTTCTAGGATGCGAAAACTTTGCGACTAGAATAAATAAATAAGCATCTTTTTTCAGTTTTGTCTATTTCGTTATTTTGTCAGTTTCTTTTTTACAATGCTGTATAGTCACCTGCGTGGCGCAGTGGTTAGAGCGTTCGCTCTAGAGTCGCAGAGTAAGGAGTTGATCCTTACGTCGCGGGTTCGAATCCCACTGTGGGACGTGGAGACCGGTCCTTCGGATGAGACCATATAAACCGAGGTCCCGTGTCGCAGTAGGTGCTGGCACGAAAAAGATCCCTCACTGCTCAATGGCCCTCAGTGCCGAGTATAAGAAAAAAATATGTAGCCATCCACCGGCAACTGGTGGCGTCTCCATATGGGTGAAAAATTCTCGAGAGGGACGTTATACAATAAACAAACAAACAATGCTGTATAGCTGCAAACCTGTAACCTGCCACCATTGTGACAGCAGGTCTGAATATTTTATATGGATTTATCATGTGGTTTAAACATACATTTGTTCATCATCAAAATAGTTAAATACATCAGGAAAAAAAAATCATAAAACTACAGTAAAACCTGTCTAATGCGGACACCACTGGTTACATGGAAAACGGGCAGATTAGACAACATTCCGGATAAGACAAAATTTGCAACAATTGAATTTACTGAAAGGGATTTATTGGCAAGATTTCGGAACACACAACTACCCCATAAGACACGTTTCACTGTATATAAAACATTTGACACTGTATTAATGTTTAGGGAGGGTTTGAAAAAAAATATTTGAAAATCCACGCGATATTGAAAGTTTTCAAAGAAATTGTAAAATATCAGTTTAAAATGTTTATTTCTTACGCGTTTATAACTTTTTTTTATCACTTTTCCTGTATCATGTAGATTTGTTTGCCTATTATGCTATTAATATACATTGAACATATCATTCAGAACAGAGAGGTGTAATCTGCCTTTACTTTTCTTTCGTTTTTTTTTTCTTTTAGATTTCATTATTTTTGGCATATTTGTTGCTGCATTCACCTAATAAATTAGTATTTATGATCAGCATCATTATAATACTGATGATCCGCATGAGTAAATATCTCCACACAGGAGTTTTTTTTTATCTGTATACTTCGCTTTTGCACAACTTCCTCCATGATGTGGAGAACCCTGAGTTTCATCCAATTACTCAAACAGGTATTATCCAGTATTAAATTTTTTTTAATTATTATTTTATAAAAATTACGTATTGATGTTTTGCATTTACAGCATGTGAATTTATTTAGTCTTTATGCAAAAGAAAAAGGTTTGTTCCTCAATTCGTTTTTTTTTATAATATCAATTTTGGTATAGTAAAAAGAAGACCCAATTTTTTCTTATTAGTATAGGGCATTAGTAACAATGTAATCACGGTTTTTCAAACCATGTGCGTAGAGTTATCAACTACACATAGCGATATAATAAACATGTATCAAAGTAATAACTATGGTAAATGAAGGTGTCAAAAGTTTTAATTGTAGTTAATATGTGTCTAAGTAACCACTATAGGAAATCAAAGTGTAGAAGTTTTCACTATAGTAAATAGAATTATATTTACTATAGTTATTACATTGACACTTTTGCCTATATAGGTTATGTAAGGTACCAGTTCATGGTATCAAATTCTTACAATTGATTGCACTTTTTGAAAGTCTTTTTAAATAGCAGCAGGGCCAGACTAAATTATATTGATAAGCAAACAGTTTCTTAAAACCTATTGGACCCCTTGGTTAGAGTAAGGTTATCATATATATATATATATATATATATATATATATATATATATATATATATATATATATATATATATATATATATATATATATATATATATATATATATATATATATATATATATATATATATATATATAGTCGTGTAAGTACAATCGAGTAATTTTTTGGACATATTTTCTTTCCAACATCGTTTTTTTTAATTGTCATCCAATTTATAACATTTTTTTAAATCTTGCAAAAAATGTTTGAATTGATTTTATAGTCATGCATATTTGCATTATAAATCTAGTTCCATTTAAAATATTTTACGTCGAATTAAAAATTTTATCCCTAATACAAGATAACTTATTATTTACATAAAACGACCTAATTAGTTTCAAGTTAAAAAAAAATCTTCGCTCCAATTTAGGCTGGACCCTGGTTTTTCATGCAGTAAAGGGTAACGGACAGAATGTCCGTGTTGCTTGGGACAATGGGTCAATAGCAGGATGCACACCAGATCTCGGCTGCATTCCCGGGGGATTTAAGCTAGAAAACTGGAGGAACAACGGGAAGCATCTCCGAAGTCCCTTAATTGATCAGTGGAACTCGCTCAACATTGTTAAGGTGATTTTTTCATCCCTCAAGTTGTATTTTGAAGCCTTTTTTTACATCACTCACGCATAATTAATCAGTACTAACAGTAAAATATAAATGCTGTCCTTTTTTATGGAATATTATATCAAAAAAAAAACCTGAGGTATGAACACTCATTATCTCATACGTTTGTAAGTTTTAATTAAGTATTAATCAATCATAATGTTAACCATTAATTATAAAAGATATTCCATTAGGTATAATCTATGTCATTGTGAAGTGGTGTACATCAGATGGGGATTCTCGAAAACTCCAAAGAACTTTAAGAACTTTTACAGTAACTTTTTTTTTCAAAACTCAGTAACATCAAAACTGTTCTACACTTTATATAACCATTCCTCACGAAAAATTAAAATATATGCTTTTGGAAAAAACCTGCCTCTTTAATAAAAATGGAACTCGAAAATTTGTTTATCTTGTAATTGGTCATCAACAAATTTATTTTTATTCAATTAACAATAGCTACAGAGTCTGCCACATCTGTATCATATTCGGACGTATTACTGATTATAGACGATGAGGGCAAACTAACAACTAAATTGTATGACAAACGAAATGATCTCAGCTTTTCCGTCGTCAAATTTCCTTATTTATGTAGTAATATTCATCTGCAAAGGGTGTTTTAGTCTGCAAGCTTATTCGATACTCAAGAGGATGCTCCGTGTACGACCAATTCTTAAACCGAGGCAGATAAGTTGATGTCACAGGGATCTCAACAACCTCGTTTAAAGTCAGCATTTCGTTAATTCTTTGGTCGTTATAATGACTTAGCAAATATAACCTATCAATGAGTCTTGCTTTTTTTTTTTTTTTTTTTTTTGCTCTTTTTGTGTGTGTGTTTCATACCAATACGTGAAGTTAAGTCATAGTTTTCTTACTTAATATGATTATGGAATATTCTGTCCACCTGATCAATTTATAGGGCTACATGTAACAGTGGTTATGTCCGGTCGACAGGGGGAGCTTAAACCTCCTAGGAACCTAATCCCAGCTCTGGAATTCCCGGGCGTTGGTGTTTTATTCCCCGTTTACAGATTTCAATTGTTTATTGACTCTTTCATAATGATAACTCTTCGTTATCTTCACTTTTTTTCATTTTCATCGACTAATGACATGAATGGTCTTTTGAATAAGTATACAAAAATTGTGATAAAATAAATGCAAATGTATTATTATTGTGAAAAGAAACTTATTTGCTACGCTTTTTGATATCAAAAGGTGAATTTTATATAATGCAAGGTTTAAAAAAAACTCTTTTCTTAGGATACATTTTAAAACGTATACATATTTCCTCTGCTCTTTGACATTTTTAGACACTTTCTATGGTCGATACAATGACCTTGTCAACAAATACAATTTATCATTGAGTAAAATGCTGACTGACGTTTTTCATATTAATTGTTAGGCCATTATTTACACACTGAATTGTCGACGGATTTTTCAGTTATTTCCCGATCATGACAAAGAGCACACGGCGGGTGTGACCGGTCGGCAGGGGATGCTCACACCTCCATGGCACCTGATCCACCTCTGATGTTTGGAGGTCCGTGTTTGCTCTGCTCCTATTTTGTATTGTTTTATGGACTTTTGAGTTTGAATACTGATCGTTATCTCCATATATTTCACTTACATGGGACTGAAACTAAATATATCTTCCTGTATTTATTTTAATTGAAAATTTTCATTGTTTTATTTGAACGAACCTTTATCTAAGAAAAAATAAAAAGAGATTAGAAGACTGTGGTTCATTTGGTTCTAGCAAATCTCCACTCTAGAGATCATAATGTTAAAAGTTAAAGAACATAATATTATATAATATTGTATAAAGTTTTGTAACATTTCGTAATTTTATAAAGTATTTTATCCTATGATTTGATATAATATGATAAGTAGATTTCAATTCACGTATCTTTTGACAAGTAAGTTATATGGCCTATTTTTTTTCAGTTAATTAATCAACCAGTTGCAAGGGTTTTTATTTCTCCTGACTAAATTATTGCAATTAGATTCGTGTAGTGTTTGGAGGACTTGGAAAAACATTGGCATTTTTGGAATTCGACGGAAGTGGAAGCAACAAAGAAGACTGGTTCAGCAAATCCAGATTATTACACAGTAGTTGGTCCGATCTAAAAAGTAGTTCTCATACTAACTTTTTCTCCATGAATGGGTATTAACATTTATTACATGATTTTATTTTATTTTCAAGGAGATCTGAAAAAGATGAACACAATTAAATTATGAAAAAAATCAATCATTCCCTGACAAAAAAGTACTATAACAAACTATAGTTTACTATAGTTAACTATAGTATCAAAGTTTTCACCATTTTCACTAGTTAATCCAAGTATTTTTACAATAATTTTCGTAACATATTTTTTTTAATTTTTAATTTTTTTCTTTTGTCAGCGTATTAAAAAGAGATATTTCTTGTATATTTACATATTATTTCAAAACTTAATAATTGGTACGTAATATCAGAAATAAGAAGATTCCAAATCTAAAAATTCTATAGTAAAGATTCAAAGTATCAAAGTATTTACAATAGTTAACTATAGTTTATATTACTTCTTCTGCAGACATAATGCTGATCTTAAAAGACATTTTTTCATCAACAAACAATATGGAGAATGTCCTAACGATATTGGATGGTTAGTTGTGATAGATAGAATCCCTGTGTGTCCCTGGGAGAACAAAGGAGATTATCCACTCTTTTTGTACAGCAAGAGTTTGACGGCTTCCAACTGGAATCATGGTACCTTACTTAATAGATAACGCACTACTGCTAACGGGCCTATGTGCAAAATTTAAAATAATATTTAGCGTAATTCTTCTTCCATGAAAAGATTTATCAAGGTAAAATAGGAAAAAAAAAATACGCATTATAGTTATCAGAAATTGTTCGAAAAAAGTATTTTTTTTAAAAAACCCTAAGTCTTTTTTTATTTAAATTTATATCATACATGTAAGTAAACTTCAAAGCTTAATGAAATAATAGAGAAGCTGAAACTATTTTTTAAGAACGATATAATTATAAGTTTTTTAAAAAAGTAGAACACTGTTCATGATTTTATAATTAGCACTTTTAGTAGTTTTGAATTTGATTATTGCCAAACGATACAAATATTTTTTTCCCTTCATATAGTATTGTTCCATTAAAAGGTTGCACTAAGAAACATGTCTTTCATTCCAGACACAGGATCCGCTGATGTTATGAACGTCTACATCCTAACAATCTGATGTTCAAGGTTGATAACATTTACAAAAGAACATTATTTCAAAATGTTCCAGAAAATTAAACCTATGATTTATATTCCTTTTCAATAAATTCATGAAGCTTTCATCTTCCACATGCGTGCATCGACAGAAGCAATTTTCATCAATAATTTTTTAAATATATTATTTGGGAAAGTTTGCAATTTACAGAATATCACATTTTTCATATGAGGAATCGCAGCATGGAAGAATTTTAAAGATTTTTCCTATGCATTCCTATGTAAAACTTTGATCACACATTGTGGCCCCATCCTACTCCCGGGGGTCATGATTTGAACAAATTTGAATCTACACTACCTGAGGATACTTCCATACATGTTCCATATTTTCTATCAGAGTGGTTCTTGAGAAGAAGATTTTTATATGATGCCAGCAATTTTTCACGAATTCATGATTGCCACTCCTTGGAAGAAGGCGTGGCCCTTCATTTGAACAAACTTGAATCTCCTTTACCCAAGTATACTTTGTGGCAAGTTTGGTTGAAATTGGCCCTGTGGTTTTTGAAAAGATGAAAATGTGAAAAGTTTAGGACGACGACAACGACGACAAACAAAGGACAATTTTCGATCAGAAAAGCTCTCTTGAGCCTTCGGTTCAGTTGAGCTAAAAAGTGCCCCCCCCCCCCCCCGTTCTTACGTGCCTGGTGGAAGATTCATCGACTACTTGAATTAATTTTTTTACCTCGCAAAGCTGTTTACATTCCAGATTTTTTTTTTAGTTTATAGACATAAATTACCGGAAATAATCTTCCTCAATCGACAATAAATATCCTTCCTTGATTTTTCTCTTAATTTTTATTTTGACATATTTTTGATTTATTAATTTTGCCAATTTTATTCACATCGTGAACATGAGAGTCTGCAATCTCATGTGTGCTTTTCTTTTTGGATCTGTCTATTCTACCAGATGTGTCAAGTAAGACATAAAAGATTAAATATACTATTTTTTCTCTCATTACTTGTGGCAGCACAACTATAATAATATATTATGTTTTGCAATTACTGATGTAAGAAAAATGAAACACCCTTTTCATCGGTTTAGGATCATTTTCTTCCTAAAGAGTGTATAACCTGATATACATGTACGTATATGAGGTCACTGGATAGTGCTTTTGACAATGTATTTCTTATAGATGATGTAAATGTAAATATGAAAAGGATCTAATAGGAGTTTTTGTTTGCATGGCTTATGGGTTGCATAAGCAATCTGCCGTTTATAAAAATGCTATTCAAAATTTGTTTCATCTCAATCCATGATAAAACGTATGTTTCTGAAACACTAATGACACCATATAGCAATCAAAGGTCAAGGTTATTTTTTTCAAATGTAGGTGAAACTCCAAGGTCAAGAGTTCAAAAGTGTTAGTACTCAAACAAAGGTCTTGTCACAGAGAATACACATGTGAAGTATAAAAGCCTCAGTACCAACCGTTCACACTGGCGGATTTAAGTGGGGGCGTGGGGGGCGCACGCCCCCCCCCCTAAAATTTTCAAAGTATGACATGACTAATATTAATAATGCCATACTTTGGTTTTATAATTAATGGTCAATTAAACATAGTAATTTTAGTTAATGACCAAGTATCGGTTTTCTTAAAAATCAAGTCTGAAAACCTTGCATTTCCATGGCTATGAATATTATCTCATATTTATTCAAACCGGAAAACGTCTCCCGATTTCGTTTGAAGGGTAGACTGCACTTGTCAATTTCTTATCATGATGCAAGGAAAAATACTGCAATATTTAAAGGCTGGTCGAAGGTAAATGAATGAATTTAAAATCAGACGGTCTACGTTACAAACCCGTCCACTGATTGATGTATTTTTTATCAAATGGTGTAACTATGCAGTGATACAAGACTTTTTTCATTACACATCTCATAATCGTTCCATATAAATGGAATTTAACGTCAGCATATAGGTTAGGATGGTGTACCTTTGACCACCTGGTTAATTTCGAAGTACCCATGCATGAATACGGCGTCAGCGGGTAACTCAGTTCGACCAATAAAAGAGAAGCAATGCTATTTGTCACCAGTAAATATATATATATATATATATATATATATATATATATATATATATATATATATATATATATATATATATATATATATATATATATATATATATATATATATATATATATATATATATATATATATATATATAAGCCAATTCTTAAAAGTTTAACAATAATATTTGATATTTGGTATTCTTTATAGAATGTCCAAGTGGATATATTGGAATAGACTGTAGATATGGATGTCTTTTTCCTTACTTTGGCGAAGATTGTCTTCAGGAGTGCAATTGCACTGAGGACATGTGTGATTTTATTTATGGATGCCAGGTTACAAATCATCAATCAGGCAAATATACTTTTTCTAATTTTAATTAATATAAGATAATGTACCGCATATGTAATTTTGGTTTCAGAACCAAAAGATTCCAGTAAATATTGTTTATTCAAATCTAAAAATGAACTACATGAAAATGAATAGTCGCCCGCGTGGCGCAGTGGTTAGAGCGCCTGCTCTAGAGTCGCGAAGTAAGGAGTTGATCCTTACGTTGCGGGTTCGAATCACACTGTGGGACGTGGAGACCGGTCCTTCAAATGAGACCGTATAAACCGAGCTCCCGTGTCGGTCTTTTTTGTTGGCACGAAAAAGACCCCTCACTGCTCAATGGCCGTAGGTTCCGAGTGTAGGACAAAATTTTCAGCTCTCCATCGGCAAGTGGTGGCGTCTCCATATGAGTGAAAAACTCTCGAGAGAGACATTAAACAACATACAATCATACATGAAATTATGAAAAATATTTCAATAAAAGCATTACGTTTGTCCATAAAAGAATCTGTTAAGAATGTGAAGACTAAGCAAAGATGATAACATTTGGCACGACAAGGCCTTGGGAGAAGAAAACCAAACCTTTTTTGAGTTTTCCAAAGTCAACAGTTTTTGCAATAATAACGAAGAAAATAGATGGTATAATCATCATTTTTTCTTCCAAATCGATCGTATTTATACAACCATAGGATTGATAACTATTTCTTCATTGTTTTCTATCATACAGCATATTACATTGTCGCAAGATTTTCCAGATAAGAAACAGGTTAGAAGTACAATCATCTTCGCCATACGAAATTACTTCGTATTCTTGTATGTTGACCTTATGAATAAAAACAAGATTTTTTCCCTTGCGAATACCTCTATATCTACCTCAATACTTATCTTTGTTCAGTGCGAATTAACATTTAAATAGTTAAAGTAAATTAAGAGATATTGAACGAACTACAGAATGTGAAAAATAATTAGTGTTGCCATATCATTTTGGATGGGGTGGGGCATTGTCTGTATGAGGACAAGTAAATATCGCATAGCTTTTAGCTCTAATTGATTTTCTTGCAATTGATAGAGGTATGAATCAGGTAAATTAATTACGTGTGTAAACATGCATCATGCTACGCTCATGTTATATTCCTTTTGAAAATTGTTCCACCTAGGAGGTTCATTAGTAGAGGGTAAGAGTTTTGTGCAGATCATCGGAAAGATGTTCCAATAGAAGAGTCAAGAACTGTTCTTCCAGACAGTGTAAAAGGAAGACGCGGGGTTTTTCACTATTAAATTTTTTGCATTAGATATGAACAATTCTAAGAACCGTCAGACATGAATAAAAATCTAAAATTTTGTCATACTTTCATAACATCTTTCAGCTTTAAAAGGAACTTGCAAAGAGTTGTCAGAGAGAAACCAGTTGGAAATGTTTTTATATGCAAATTGAAAAGTGGTCTTCCTAATTTTGTCTTACGGCCGGCGATCTTTTAACAAACAAGCTTTATCTTATAAATACTGTAATTTTTTAACCTCTATAAATCTTTTCATATTTTGTTTTTAAATAAACACTTTATTGATACATAATTTTTGCCGATTATTCTGTTTCGTATTCATAGATTGACAACCAAGATTCATCCCAGTGAGCCTGAAATAAAAGATACCACAGAGTCTAACACATCTCTTTAATATTTAAATATTTGATTGGAAAATAAATGTTAATGGAAACCTAACAACCAAGCTTTATGATAAACGTGATGACGTCAACTTTTCAATCGTCAACTGCCCTTACTTAAGCAGCAATATACCCTTATCGCCTGCTTATGGGGTCCATGTCTCTCAGTTGATTCGATACGCAAGAGCATGCTCTACGTACGAAGAATTTCTAAAACGTGGCAAGCATTTGATGAACAAGTGGATGAAACAAGAATATCAACAGTCTCGTTTGAAGTCTTCATTTTGCAAGTTTTATGGTCGATACAATGAGCTTGTCAGCATATACTTGAAGCATAAACTTCAATTTGCGAACAATGGAATTGAAGCAGTTAATATTAGTAATATTCTTAATCACAAAAGGGTCCAGTCTTGTATTCCACCATATTTCAAGTTGAAGCCCACACCTTGTATTTCTTATAAATACACATCGACTATTGCTTTCAATCTTTTTAATTACAAAAACTCTACAATGCCTAGATATGGAACATATATATATATATATATATATATATATATATATATATATATATATATATATATATATATATATATATATATATATATATATATATATATATATAATTATATATATATATATAACTGTATCTACTTTTGACTTTTTTTGGGTACAAATGTCAACTTTTTTCCAAGACCCTTTCTTTAGCTAAGACTTCAAAGAACCTTGAATCATATTAAAATGCATGAAATGAAAATTGTTGCATGATTTCTTTTTCAATTTCAAACATCATGTTAAGATTTTTTATTCAGTTATCCTTACTGTCTGATGATCGGATAATTCGTTGAAACCAATTATATATATATATATATATTTGTAACAGATTAAAATTGTAAAATTGTAAAATTTGTTATAACGAATTAAATTCGTTTAATCAAATGTAACAGTTGTGGTTTAAAATGCCGATAGATAATACAACACCTATAATGGATTACTAAACGTCCAAAAAATCCTTACAAAGACACAAAGCTTGTTCCAGTTAATGTACTACCAAGCCTCTTTTTT